TAACTTAACCACAGTTTACTGGTATTGCCAATTAGACTGAAGCATAGAAACGTTACCTCTCTTTATGTCTGTTTACCTTCCCCTATTTATAACTGTCTTACATTAAATTAAATTTCCTTTACATACATTTAGTATCACATTAGACAGTGTTATAATTTTAGCAACAAATGTCAAACAGAGGAGAAGGAAAGTCTGTTCTATTTAGCCACAGTTTTGTTTATTGTTTCTTCCCTCCTGGTGTCCTTTTTTCTAATCATTTCCTTTCTGTTTAGAGAACTTTTTTAGCCTTTCTTTAGGGTAGGACTGCTAGTGACAAATTCTCTGAGAATGTCTGGATTTTACCTTCAATTCTTGAAGAATAATTTCACTGGATATAGAATTCTGGGTATATAATGCTTTTCTTTCAGCACTTGAAAAATATTGTGCCCATTCTTTCTGGCCTCCATAATTTCTAACAAGAAATCAATTCTCACTCAAGTTGTTTTCTTCTATGGGTAACGTATTGTTTCTCTCTCACTGCTTTAAAGGTTTTATTGATTTTTTTTTTTATTTTCAGAAGTTTGACTATTACATTTTGGTGTGGATCCTTTGGGTTTCTTTGGTTTGGGGTTCACTCAGCTTCCAGGACCTTGATGACATAAAGTTAGATCTTTTGTAATAGTATCATAGGTCCCTGAAGTTTAGTATATTTTCTTTTCAATCTATTGTCTCTCTGTTGTTCATATTGAGTAAGTTGATTGTTCCATCCCCAAATTCACTGACTCTTTCCTCTGTCTTCCTCTCCATTCAGCTATTTAGCCATCATCTGGTGTTTTATTTTAATTATTGTGTTTCCAGTTCTAAAAATTTCCTTTGGTTCCTCTTTATATCTTTGATTTCTTTACCGAGATTTTCTATTTCTCTGTCAACTGTTTCAACTTTTTCATTTTTTGCAAATGTGCTCATAATTATTCACTGAAGCATTCTTTTTGAGCACCACTTTAAAATTTTTGTCAGATAATTCTAACATCTCTGTTATTTCGATGCTGGCATCTATTAATTACCTTTTTTTCCTTCAAGTCAAAATATTCTTGGGTCTTAGTATAACCAGTGATTTTCTACTGAAACATAGACATTTGGGTAGTATGTTATGAGACTCTGGATCTCATTGAAACTTCCTAATTTAGCTGGCTTCCTTTTTTTTTTTTAATGTTTTATTTATTTCTGAGAGAGAGACAGCGTGAGCAGGGGAGGGTCAGAGAGAGAGGGAGACACAGAAACTGAAGCCGGCTCCAGGCTCTGAGCTAGCTGTCAGCACAGAGCCGGATGCAGGGCTCGAACCCGCGAGCCGTGAGATCATGACCTGAGACGAAGTTGGACGTTTTACGGACTCAGCCACCCAGGCGCCCCTTTAGCTGGCTTCCTACGGCATTGCTCTTCCTCTCGCATTGTTGGGGGAGGGCACACGTTCCAACTGGGTCTCTGATGACACCAGGGGTATGGGCTTCTTTATTACTGCTGGGTGGGAGTAGGAGTTCTGGCTCCCACTAGGCCTCTACTGATACCATTCTAGTTATAAGGGATAGGGGTATCTCATCACTATTCCCCACATGGCCTCCAGTGACAGAGGGAAAGTGGAGAGGGCAGCCTCTTCACTGCTGAGCAGTGATGAAAGTCCTGACTTTTCCACTGACACCACCTCAGGGGGGAGAAAAGTTGGAGTAACTTGTTATAGCCTAATGAGATTGAAAGGCCAGGCTCCCCATTCAGCCTTGGCTAGTATGGGTGGGGGTGAGGTCATAGGCTTTTTTTTTTTTTTCTTCTGTTTCTGGCTAGAGGAGCACAGTTATTGTCTAAAAGTTTTGTCTTTCTAGGCTGCCCCTTTCTTGATCCCTTGGCTAAGGATTGCTGGCTTTTGCTGGAGCTTTTACTGAGTCCACTGACATTCCTATTTTGCCAGCATCTTCGTCCCCAAGTTTGGAGGATCTACGGCAAAAGAGAAGCCCTAGAAAGCATCACTGTGATTCCTCAGAACCCGAAATTCCTAGCCAGTCCATCTTCCTCTCTCCACCTTTCGGAGTATTCTCGTGTTTATCCTATACATAGTACACTTAGTTGTACAGAAGAAATAAGGGAAAGTACATCTATTTCATCTTCCCTGACGTGGCAGTAGGCATAAATTTTATGATATAACATTTGTGAGCTATACATGATTTGTTCATAAAAGATCTTGGAACATGAATTCTTTCTTACCTAGATCATGTGAAGCCATTTTTCTTTTGAGCTTTGTGGCAAAAAGCAACTACACATGAAAGAAGCAAAGATGGCCTGGCTCCTTCATCCTCAATTAACGTGTGGAAGATAGTCTCTGAATTCCAGTCTCATATAGTTAGAATGGATGTTGTGAGTGATTGATGCCTCAGTAAAACAAATATAGGGCCATATAATATTGCTATTCATCCTACGATGGTGCATACATACTGTTTAGGCCAGCAGTTCTCAACGCGGGAGACAAGGTGCTCTATTCTCCAGGGTCTCACTTGGCAATATATAGATATTTTGATTGTCATGACTTGGACAGGGGATGAGGAAGATAAAGCAAGAGGATTATGCTACTGGCATCCAGTGGGTAGAAGCCAGGAGAATTCTTAACAACCTACAATTAATAGGACAGCCACCCACAACAAAGAATTATTTACCCCAAAATGTCACTAGTGCCAAGGATGAGAAAGCTTGGGTTAAATGTTTGACCTACATCTGGCAGCTAAATTAGTCTTCAGGTATTCTGTGCAACTTTTGGCCTAAGTGATTGTGAAACTCTGAATGCTAGGTCTGGAATGGCCTTGCCCAAGCTCTAAACAGAGACAGTACACGCTGCCAAGACTGTCTTTTCCTCTGGCATTCCCCTCTGAGAATTGCTGTGTGACTCTAAGCTAAGACGTCTAAAGTGAAGAACCATATTCCTTGCTTATCCTGGAAAGTATGTTGTTTACATAAATTAAAAATGTTTAAAACAAATGTCCTTATTCTATTCTTACGAATTTTTAAAATCAAAATTTAGACATCACTTTTAACTTGCATTTTTATATCCATCTATCACCTACCCAGGCAGCCACAGCCATTTCTCACCCTAATAAAACTTCTGAATGCAATGCAAAGCTCTGTCTTCTGGAATTGTTTGGGTGGAAAAAGGCAAAACTTCAAAAGCAAGAATGAAATCACTAAAGCGCTAAAAAATCATGAAAGCACTAAAAATCAATACAGTGGAAAGCAGGGATAAGACTGGGGCACTGGCTACTGGCTAAGCCCTGTAACACAGTGTCAGCACCCCTTGCTCCTGAACTCTAATGCTCCAGGCCACTCTCTTACATTAAACAATTCAGGTAACTGAAAGCACCAAAAAAGGATACACAAGACAAATGGAATACCAGAAAGAATAGACTCACTCACTGTCCCAGTATTCATTCGTCATTTGATACTCTTTCTTCTTATATTTTATTCTATTTGAACCCTTCAAAATGTACTCTACCATACGACCCTTGCTCAGAAAGTAACTTCTCCCAACTGGTACAGGACCTCTGAGCTAGTTTCTAATATGGGCCCTCTTCATGTCAAGTATCTTGATTAATGACACAGAGTTACTTCTTACAGGGGCAGACACTGAGACCTTTTTTCTCCTTTATGAAGGCTCTCCAGTGTACATCCCTGATTCTTTTCTCTGTGAGACCCACACAAAACCTAATTAGAAATCCCCAAGCAGCCACACTGATCTCGTTGAGTAACTGTAAGGCGGTGTGGGTCTTAATTGAAAACATTTGTCCTACTCTACTGACAAACTTTAGGTCAAAGACGACATTGAGGACTCTTGTCCTTACATTTTTTTGTTCCCTAATGGGCTTTATGATCACATTCCTTAAATCACAGCCAAGAGTGTGTTTTGGTACTGAAACTATTTTAAAGACATAATGTGGCAGCAGTATTCTGTGTACTAACAACAGGTTTGGCGCTGCAGCCAAGAACAGTAACAGAATCTTCCCTCTTACATTGCCATCTCAAAAACAAAAACAAAAACAAAAACCAAAAAACACAGTCTCTTTTTTCTTTTTTTCCTCCCCTCCCACTTCCCTCCTGCCCACCCGCCTCTGTCTTTCTGTGGGACTCCGATTCCCTTATTATTTTTGCTTTGAATCTCCCTGCCAGAGTAAAGTCTATATAATGGACAACATATCTTAACCTATGACCCTATCTAGCTTTGCTCCCTTCTGGGGACATGTCACAAATATCACAATCAACAAATGTTTGATTGTTTCAGTCCAGTCTCTGGAGTGTGACCACCTGGGGTAGAATCCCAGCTCTGCCATTCCTTAGTTTGGGACAACTGAGTCCTTTAACATCATTTAAAGCTAGGAAGCCTCCTATGTAAAATGAGGTTCTTATGGGTATCCACCTGATGAGGTTGTCAAGACAAAATGCACACAAACTCTGTCTCCTTTTGTTTGGCATACAAGAATCACTTATAATCTCTATAACCAGTTAGTAAAATTTTTTAAATATTTTGAGAGTGGTTTTTACTTTTTAAAAAATCACACAACTCTTACTAATTCAACTTCTTAGTAGTAATATATTGATGTGCTTAGGATAAAAATTCACTGCTAATGCTAAGCTGTAACAGAAAAAGCCTAAGTTTTTCATATGAAACATCTGTTATTTCAATACTAAATAATCACAAAGACTTTGAAAGAAAAGGTTAGCAGTGATGTACTACTCAGGTCTACAACTAATGTCCTTTGAACTAATTTTTGAACTAACCTCTCAATTTCTCCCACTAAAAAACCGTACACTCCCTCGAAATATTTAAAAAATTCAAATTCGAAATTCAAGACACTTAACTAACACCCCAGTGTTTGGTCTAGCTTGTCTTGCTTATTTATACCGCGCCATACGCACTTAAATCTGTAATGAATGTTTCCTGAAGCTGCATTTACCCAGAAGAAATATTACCCTCCTCCGGGTTCACCTACTTCCATTTTAATGTCGTAGTTCTGGCCGAGGACGCTCTGGATGAGCTCTTTGATAGTCCGGTCGGAGGCCAGCTGGGCCTCAGACTGCAGCGAGGCGATGACCTCCTCAATGCACGTCGGGATCACTCGCACCGGCTGCGGGGGCTCCCGCGAGTGGCTCGCCAGGAGGCTCTCCCGCTGGCCTTTGGAAGCTGGCCTCGCGCCTTCCCGCGGCAGGCTGACGGAGCCCTCGCGCACTGACAGGGTGCGACTCTTGGCTCGCCACCGCCGGCCGGCCGCCTCTTCGTCGCTCTTCTGGCTGGAAACGGAGCTGCCCTTCCTCGATTCGGCCAGGAGGGCCTCTGCGAGCGGAGCGCTCTGCCGTTTCGCGTCGCCCTCCCGGGCCGGTTGCGGGACAGGCTTGGCGCCCCTGGTCGGCGGGCTCCTCGGGGCCAGGCGCGGCCCGGGCCTCTCCCTGGGCGGGGGCGGCGGCGTCGGGACTATGGGTCTGGACGTGCCTGCCCTGGAGGCGATGACCGGGGGCTTCTGGGGCCGGTACCGGAGGAACGCAGAGCTCCGCAAGTAGAAGTCCTGGGGGCGAAACGGCCGGGTCTTCCCGGGAGTGGCAGCCTCGCTCGGGCCGGGGGGCCGCGCTGCGCCTCGGGGCGCCTGCTGCCGGAGGGCCGCAGCAGGGGTCGTAGGGCCTTTAGCTCGAAGAGGGGACCCTGATGGCTTTGGGGGTCCGGCGCAGGAAACGCTGCCTTTCTCCCCAGGACGCTCAGGACCGAGGGCCTGGAGGCCCAACACTGGGCCTTCATCCACAGCCGGCTTGGAGGCCAACTTCTGCTTGAATCGGAGAAAATCCTTTCTAGTTTCCTGGCGAATCTTCTCAAGCTCTTTAAAGATGTATGATTCTTCTTTGTATTTCAGTCCAAAATGCTTCGAAATTGCAGACATATTGACTAATGTGTCCTGTGAAATAACAATATATTGTATCGTTATTATACACACGCGCGCGCGCGCGCACACACACACATAAAACAAAAATCACGTTAATATATGCAGGTCCTGCTCAAAAGCCACTCATGGCAGAACACTTGCTGTGCTTCAGAGGCACAAGTGGGTAGTAGTGGTTTATATCATTTTAAATCCAACTATTGGTCTTTTCACAAGAACCATGAAAAACCTTTAGAGCAGATAACGTTTTTACAGTGGGATTTCTGAAACCCCAATCGGATTTATTTTAACAATTCTTTAGACTCTAATATAATGTTCCAATTCCAGGCAAGAGAGACAGGCATCTAAAAAAAATGCCTGCTAAGAAAGAATAGAGGTCATCAACTGAGGCATGGATCTAGCCCACAAACATATTTTTCAATTGCTCCATGTTTTTCAAAATTATTAATTTATACTGACAATTTTAAACTGAGAGACTGTCACATAAAATTCAAGATTTGCAGTTGGGGGTAGGGGTGAAGACTCTGGCAGTGCAAGGTCCAAATCCCTACTTTTGGGGAAAGGTAGCAGTTTCCTCTTCCTTCTCCAACTAACTGGTCCTGGGTGTCCCCATCCCTTAACCGGCCCACTTCCCTCAATATGTCTCCTGAACTACCGTGGACTGTATGAAGGCAGAGAGGTGATCAGCCACAAGGTAGGCTGTAGCAGGATCATGAGGCCTTGAATGCCAAATGTTTGTACTTCTGTTGGCTACTGAAAACCATACAAAAACTTGTAACACAAAAGTAGCTTGATAGGACCTGCTGCTTGGGCAGTATTAAGGGAGAGAACTAATAAAGGGAGAGACGCAAATAAAAGCCTCTACAGTTTGAGTATAAGGCCTGGCCTTGATAGCTAGCAGAGTGAAGAGACATAACAAGGTAAAACTGATAGGATCTAGCCAATGAGAAGGAATAAAAAGGAGCAATTAAAGATCCTTCATAAAAGAAGAACTTTGAATCATCTTGATGAAGTCTTGGTCATAGCCGAGTACATAATAAAGCTTCTGCTATTCAGTAACTTGTACACTTCAAAATGGTTAAGATGGTAAATTTTATGTTATGAGTATTTAATACCACAATTAAAAAAAAACTGCTATTAGTAGGGCCAGTTCATTTATGATCATAAGTGGATTTTCAGATCCTGAGAGCTCTGAGGTCATTAACAAAAGCCAGGCTAACAAGAAATGTAAATAGACAAGGGCCCAATGACAGACCCTGTGGCACACTCATCTGTGGGATGAGCAGGAGCAACAGAGAGGAAAATGGGGAGAACAGAGTTTCTCAGAAGCCAGGAAGAAGAGAGTTTTAAGAAATAAGGGTAAAACAGTGAAAATAAAAGCAGAAAATAATGAATTAAAAAAACTAATTTGTTTATTTTTAGGAAACCTAAGGCCAAGCTCTTTGGAAAAAAAATAATAAAGCAGAAACATCTCTGGAATATCATCATTATTTGCAAATATGATTCCTGAAGGACATAGAAGATTTGACTGAATAGACAGTTACTGTCCCTTGGTGAGAAAAATCAAATATTGTAATTATATCAGGTCTTCCCAAAATACTGGATTGGTTTAATGCCATCATAATCAAAATCTAACAATTGTGATTTTTGAATTCTGAAAAGTATTCTGGGTTCATTTGAAATAATAAACAGGATAGACAGGCAAAATTTTGAAAAAGAGAAATAAGGGAGCACTTGTCCAACAAGATAATTAAAACTTATATAGGTATAAGAATTAAAACTGAAATACTACTGTTAGAATTCTTATGTAAAATGAGCAAAAGAATTAAAAACAGTACGAGTTATAGTATAAACACAGCATTAAATTGGCAATAAAAGAGTTATTCAATAAACTGTGCTGAGGCAATTGGTTGATTATTTAGGGGGAGATTTATACCTCATTTTAAGCCATGTACCCAAATAAGATGGATTGAAGACTAAATGTAGGAAATATCTTCTTACATAATTACTTTGCATTTCTTTTTTTTTTTTTTAATGTTTTTATTTATTTTTCAGAGAGAGAAAGCACAACCTGGGGAGGGGCAGGAAGAGAGAGTGAGAGATAGAGGGGAAGACACAGAATCCACAGTCGGCTCCAGGCTCTGAGCTGTCAGCATAGAGCCCAATGTGGGGCTTGAACTCACAAACTATGAGATCACGACCTGAGCAAAGTTGGCCTCTTACCTGACTGAGCCACCAGGTTCCCCTGCATTTCTTTGTTTGTCATCTTATCCACATTCTTGAGTGGCCTTACATTAATTCACAAAATGGTTATCTTTATGATTAGATTTCTTCATTTACCATGTATTGGCAATATGAACAAAACATCTTTTTTAGCCTCTAACTATAGTCATATTGCTTTTAATCTCTAATATCCACTATTGATTCTCAAACAGAAGACCCTGCTATATGGCAGAGGGCTCACCTGGGAATCAATAGGCTTTCTTTCCTTTTTTTTTTTTTAATTTATTTATTTCTAGGAGAGAGAGAGAGAGAGAGAGAGAGACAGTGTGAGCAGGGGAGGGTCAGAGAGAGAGGGAATCAGACTCTGAAACAGGCTCCAGGCTCTGAGCTGGCAGTCAGCACAGAGCCCGACGTGGGGCACGAACCCACGAAGCGCGAGATCATGACCTAAGCGAAAGTCGGACGCTTAACCGACTAAGCCACCCAGGCGCCCCTAGGCTTGCTTTCTTTACCCATCTCCACCAATGCCTACACCTTGAACAGTTCAGTTCTATCTATAACCAGATTTCACATTAAAAAATGAAAATAGGGGCACCTAGGTGGCTCGGTTGATTAAGCGTCCAACTCTTGATTTTGACTCAGGTCATGATCTCACAGTTCGTGAGATCCGCCCCATGGATCTGTCAGCACAGAGCCTACTTGGGATTCTCTCTCTCTCTCAAAATAAATTAATAAACTTTAAAAAAACTTTAAAGTGAAAATAATATGCTGTTGTCTCTTTTCTGTGCCATAGTATGTGAATATTAGAAATGATTTGTAAAGCCCTTAAGGAAGTTTCTCTTCTTTAAAAATATGCTGCATAATCCTTCTTGTAGTGTTTTGGCTATTACTGTTTGCACAGGTGGTAATATGCTCACACTGACACCATCTGCATTTCTTCCTACAAAAGACTGAAAGGCAGTAACTGGAAGAGAGTGCAGAACAGAAGCACATTAATACCTGATGAGAATCTGACTTGACTCTCCTAATGCACTTCCCTTTTGTTTTTTAGTTCCTGTTTTGTATTCCCTTCCAAACTTCTCTCAGGCCCTTGGTTTACTATTGAAGTTTATCAAGTGTTCATTGTTTAACATTTCTCAGTACATTTACTTGAATTCTTCATAAGAACATTGCTCTTCACATGTAAAAATAAACCAATAGGATAAAGAACTTCTAACTTTGACAGTAACCTCTATTGTGTTTTCAAGGTAGGTGGTTATCTCAATTCTAAATGGGCCAGTCCATCAAAGCTTGGTGCCTTTCTTCCCCTCACCCAACCCTCAACATTACAAAATATGTGAGATAACTTTTAAACATCCAATCTCATGGAGGAAATAACATGTTCTCGTTTTCTTGGTAAGCAATTTATTGAAAGAAAGAGACTAGTTCTGGTTTGGAGAGTCTCAAGGAAAAATAATGTAGCTGTGCCCAAAAAACAAAGTATTAATCTACATAAGGTGTCAAGCCTGCTGCTCACAATCCAGGTTAAGTTTACCTTACACTTAATAATGGACAGAACATGTTTGAAATCTTTGCAACCTGAGCAGTAATTCTACTCTCTGCTTCTTTCCCAATTACTAGAGCTCTGAGCCTTTTTCTTCTTTCTCTCCCAGGAGTCCAGTGCCTGAGGAGTGAGGGAGTAAGAAAGACCAAAAGCCAGCCTTTTTTCCTCAACCACAAGGTATGGTCACACATGTCAAAGCTCTCCAGTCAAAAATGGCTAAAGGCCCAAAGTGAGATAACTAGCGAATTCTCTAGACTCTGGGGCAGGTTGCTCTCCAGTTCTTGCAGGTATGGCCGTTCTTTCTATCAGAAGAGAAGATCCATACTCTGCTCTAGACTTCAACTAAGGTAGAAATAAACAGAGTAGACCACCAGATAACTTGCTTCTAAGCTACATGGAACCACCTCACACAGGGAAAGGAATCCTTCATATGTTAGACCTAGTTCATCATATTATTATATTGAAAATAGAGCCAAAGCACCAGCTGCTTATTACATAGGCTTGACCTCTTCTGTATGTGTTCATGGGTACCCCAGTGGGAGGGGTGACATATTAAGGACAAGATTTAGGATCTCTTGGGTCCATGGCCAAATATCATCTCAATTTGCTTCCTAAATTTCATATCAATATCAACTTCCAATGCACAATGTAAGAGTTCCAAAAGAAACATCTAAGTCCAAGGATAGTCTATCACATCTGGTAAAATCTTCATGTTGCAAGGAAAATAAAAATATTCTGAGAACAATTATTTGCTTTTGAAGTATCAGTGGTAGAAGTGAGATCTGTTTATGCACTGATTATGAAAAAAGCTTAATAGGAAATATACAATTGTTTTAACAAATTTACTAAGAGAATACGATAATAGTATTTTTTGTACTTTCTATTATATTTGTTTTGCTGCCTTTAATCTTAATAATGTCAATAATAGTAATTCATACTTATATTGTGCTGGTTAAAAATGATACAAAAAATAGAGGAAAGCTCACAAAAAGCTTTTTTCCTAAACTACTCAGAAGCCTAGAGAAATTTCAATGACTCTAAAAGGCTTTTATTACTGTTATAATCAGTACCTCGAATACGCCCATAGCCTTTGTGATATACATATATACACACAAACATAAATACTAACAGGCAATGGAACAACAAAACATTCTCCCTGCCTTTTTCTTCTCCCCATGTTCTGTCTTTACTTCCTGAACTTCCTTCACCAAATTTGCTTAAATAGCCAAAATAAGAAAACAAAAGGGTT